TATATTTAGAATCTCTTTCATTTCTTTTATCATTTCTTCTTTTATCTGGGAGATTATTTCGAGTTTGAATTTCTTTAAAGCTTCCTGGAGTTGCTTGTCAATTTCAGTGGCTATTGTGTCCGATATATGAGGTGGATGGGATATATTTTCTTCTATATACGTCGCTCCTAGGGTTTCTTGAGATGGGCTGGAGGTTTGAGGTTGTAATTTGGTCTTTCGTTTTGTCATTTTCCTATATTTCTGTGTTTCAAGTGTTGCTTGAAAGCTTCCTCAGGATCTGTTGAAAATCCCCTTCTATGTTTGGAGCTACTGGGACTCTGGTGCCGCGCTACTCCAAGCCATTAGGCCTACAGAACCAGTGGCCCTCCTCTGCCTGCTCAGAACTCCGCAGTTCCAGACAAGCTGGGCCTCAGGGACACTGTGCGCCCACCTGCCCCTTGGAAGCTCCACAGTTCTTTAATCGCAGCCGGGTTAGGGTACTCACCACAGGCCGCAGTGCTTCAGGAACCTGTGGACCCTCCCTGGTTGCAGAGATATCCACAGTCCTCCAGACACGCAGAGAGGCCAGTGAGGGCACCCCAGATCTGCCCAGCTCCTCCTCTGCAGACCTGTGGCCAGGCGCGGCAGCTAAACAGGCTGGGCTAGGCTGGTAGTGTGGGCCAGCCCACCTATCGGGAGCTCAGCAGGTCTCCAAATGAAGCCGGGAATGGGGAGGCTGATGTGGAAGCCTTAAACCCACCTCTCTCCTTCACTGCACCTGGAAGCCTGAGGGAACTCCAGCAGTCTGGGCGCAGAAATCCAGAGTCCTCCAGACACGCAGAGAGGCCAGTGAGGGCACCCCAGATCTGCCCAGCTCCTCCTCTGCAGACCTGTGGCCAGGCGCGGCAGCTAAACAGGCTGGGCTAGGCTGGTAGTGTGGGCCAGCCCACCTATGGGGAGCTCAGCAGGTCTCCAAATGAAGCCGGGAATGGGGAGGCTGATGTGGAAGCCTTAAACCCACCTCTCTCCTTCACTGCACCTGGAAGCCTGAGGGAACTCCAGCAGTCTGGGCGCAGAAATCCAGAGTCCTCCAGACACGCAGAGAGGCCAGTGAGGGCACCCCAGATCTGCCCAGCTCCTCCTCTGCAGACCTGTGGCCAGGCACGGCAGCTAAACAGCCACATTAAATTTTAATACAGTATTTCAGCTTGATCTATTTTATAAAAAAGAAGAAAAATAAAAATTCCATATGTTCAAGTGTCTATGGCTCCATATCAAGACCCCAAATTATGTAGATCTTATACAGTCTCTTATGCCCATGTGCCAGTACGGCCCACTGAAACAAAGTCAGACCTAATAATAGATTAACTCTTAAGTGTTCCAAACAAAACACCCCAGATACCCAGGGCACCAACAACACAACCAGCAGAGGCTTAGAGGCCCCAGAAGGCTCAAAACCTAGTGCATTTACTTCCTCTACTGGATTCTCTCCCAGGGCCACCTTCCCCTTCCCACCTCCTCTCAACCTATCTACCTCCTATTATCAAAATCCAGCCCTACTTCTATAACAAAAAGTGGTACTTCTCACCATCCCAGTGATTCAAAAGTTCTTATATGCCCACTTCAAAACGTCTCAGGAAGGGAACAAAGTGTTGTAAGGATACATGTTCCCTTCTCCAGGAGTGAGCTGGCCCAGACTAACAAAATCTGGGGCAGTTTTCAGAAGACTCAGGGATTTATAGGTCAACTTCAGACTTTGGTTGTTACTTAAGGCTACGGTAGACAGATCCTTATGTACTGCTTTCTACTTGCTGTGCCCCTTTTAAAAGAGTCCATGTATGGACCACAGAAAAGTCTAAAGCAAGTAACCCACGTGCTAGGATTCAAAAATAATGATAGAGATATGAACACAGTAACAGTGCCTAATAGAGAACCTGATTGGCAACTAACTTAGAGGTGAGGGGCCAAAAAAAGTAATGAAATGATTACTCATTTAATTAGTAAAATTAAAAAGTACATGAATAAATCAGTCTATTATAACAAGAAGCCTCCTGAGGCTGGAGGGTGAGGGAGTGACTTGAAGCTTTTTGTTTAAAACCTAATCTGTCCTTACATATAATATTTCCTGACTAATGTTATTTGTATCGTCTCTGTCTTAATTTTTTCTTAACTAGTTTCCAAATCTCTTTAGAAAATAACTTTTTTTTCTTTTACTGACAGTGTCTTCTAGATTTTTAAATGTTTCTTTCATTGATTTCTGATTTTATCTTTATTTATTAACAGAATTCTTTTTTAGTTTTTCTAAGTCTAGATTGTACATTGTATTATAATACACACACTTACTGATATATAAACACGGTACAATCATATGTAAGCAATAAAACAAAAACTTGGAATAAATAAATACATACATTTAGCGTTATATGATTTCATGAGTTGGGTTTTTCTATACACTCCCAGTTCTATTATGTACAATTTCTGCTTTTCTTTTGTTCGTAATGAGTTTATAAATTCCTTTCACACTGTACTAATTATTATCTATTAATCAAAGGTGTTTTAAATCATTTAAGGAAATTTAAATGTTAACTATTCTGATAATAATAATACTATTTGTAACTATGTATGAATCAAATTATCACACTGTACCCCATAAATTTGTACAACTAAAATGAAAATTTTAAAGCATTATAATATTTAATTATAAAGTATTATAATATGCTTTTTTTAATCCAGATCTTAAGCATCTTTAAAATTCCAATTGTATATTAGTCAGGAAATGTTTTGTTGTAAATTCATCCTTTTGGTGTGGTGGTCGGGATTGAACTCAGCGTCTTGTGCCTGCTAGGCAAGCACTGTACCACTGAGCTGCACCCCCAGCCTTCCTTAGGGTATTTGTTGGGTGATGTAGTCTGTATGATCACTAGCTTTTAAACTGGGTTGACCTTTGGTTTGTGACTTGGTTCTATTTTTGTATGAAAAGCACAGAACATCTCCGTTTCAGAGTGCACAAAGCTGTGCCTGCGTGTGGTTACATTTCATGTGTGTCCCTGAAGATTATTTCTAACGGGCTGAAGACTGCTGCCAGTTCTTCCAGTTTCTCCCAGTCCCCAACTTAAGTTGTTGCCAGGCCTCACTCATATCCACTTCACAAACCCATGGCATGAAGATCTGCCCTGGCTCTCCCAGTGGGGGGATGTCACCATCCAGCCACCAGAAGACTAGGTGAGGAACATTAATGATGTGAGAATCTAGTATAAATAACATTGGCCTCTCCACACATCAGCTGGTGAGCCCAGACCAGGCCTTTCTGGGTTTTCTACTTCCTCCTTTCCTTACCATGGGTGGTCACATCTGCCCTACCAACATATCAAGGTGTGTCAGAAGCCAAGAGATAAGGAAAGTGACCAACATCAAGTGATAAAGAAATAAAACACACTAGCAGGGATTGCTAACACAACTGCAGAAGGGAAAGATAGCTCCATGAAATGGCTAACACAGGCTCCCAGCAGGTACTGCTTCTATTGGTTCCCTTCCCTGTCCCCAGCCACCTTCAGCTCCCTCTAGGGAAACCCACCCTCCTGCAGGAAGACGCCACTGCCCATAATAACGCGAATCCCATGTCCATGCCGGCCTGCAGCTTGGAACCTGCTGAAAGCGCGCTGTGGCCAGAGCAGAAACCTGCCTGCAGCTCAGATTCGCGCTTCAGCACAGTCAGCCGCGGCAGAGCATGTGCAAATCCTCCTCCTTCCGCAGTGGGGGCCCAGCAGCAGATGCTCCCCAAATGCTCCTTCATCAAAGGAGGCTTCCGCCCCCGGACGCCTCCGGGCCTCGGGCAGAAGGAGTCTCGCCACCAAGGCTCCAGGGCGGGGGAGCTGCCCTCCTCCGAGCCCCGAGCAAGCAGCCGCGGTCTGAAATGTAAGCACTGCCCTGAGTCAAAGCAAAGCAGCGCTGGGCGGTGTTCTGAGCGCGCCTTTCCAGGGAGGATGCCGGGTCCTGCGCCCCCTGCAGAAGCTGCTGAGCCGCCGCAGCCCGGCCGCGCCCGCCCCTGCACCAGCCGCCGCGGGCTGCCCAGCCCTCGCTCCCGGCTCGCCCTCCTGCCGCAGTCGGGCCCAAATTAATTCTCTGCACCTGGGAGGGCACACGCACGTTCTCCAGACAGGAGCCTTTCATCTGTCCACCTTCGGGGCGGGGCGGTTTTCAGCAGTTAACCTGCAGCCATCCGGGCAGGGGCAGGCGCAGGGAGCCGGGAGGGGGCACTGGCACCGGGCTGAAGGGCTCGCTTCCTCCGGTTTCGGAAGAACACGGTGGGATGCCTGCTCGGCGGGCTGCTGCCCGGGCCGAGCCCGGGACTCGCTGAGCAGCCTGACGAGTTCGGACAGCATCAGCCGGCACCTTTGCCTCGTGCTGGAACCTGGCGGGTGCGTGCAGGGCGCAGGCTTCTCCTTGAGCTGGTCAACCCGACTTAGGCTCAGCCCCCGACCTCTCACCTCGGCACCTCCTGTTTATCCTCTGCCCCCCACCGCCCTATCATCACCCCCATGAGCGCGCGTGCGCACACACACACACGCACTGCCACCAAAGGACTTGCCCCTTGGGTAGTGTCGGGGCTCCCAGCGCGGGTGAGGGGCAGGCGCCTCCCTGTCCCCTCCCCACTACCCCCTTCCTCTGCTCTAGGTTTTACTGCAGCAGCTGGAGGTGACAGCGACGCCTCAGCCTCCTCCTCAGTTGCTCTCGGAGCCCGGGTTTCCCCTGCCATCAGGAAAGCGCCCCCTCCTAAGAGGCTGGTCCCCGAAGACGTGAGAACGAGCTGCAGACAACCACATTTTAAAATGCAGAAGTCGCTGTGCTGCATTCCTCCGAGACAAGCGTGATCTCCCAGGACAGGGGCCGCGCCTGGAAGTTGGGACCCAGGAGCAGGGGGAGGGGAGCGGTGCAGCCGCACACGCTTCTGGAAGGAAGCAGCCGCCGGGAGCCTTGCGGTTGGACACAAGTTTGCGTAAGAGTGTTTTCCTTTTGTCAATAATTAATCACCGGAATCCGTCTGGCAGAAGTGGAGTTTTAGCAGTGATGCGGAAGGCGGGGCCCAACACCTAACTCCGGGAGTCTCAGGGTGCCCCGCGCAGAGAGGAGCTCAGAGCAGCTGGGGAGGAGCCAGAGCATCCGTGCTCAGCTAAAGCCGCAGGGAATTGCCCGCAACCCAGAGGTAAGCATCTTCCAGAATACCTGCTTCAACCCTAAAGCAGCTCAGCCTGGACACAGTTCCAGTGTGTACCGAAGGAGGGGGGTTAATACTGAGCTTTAGTGCAGTGTATCAGTTTACTGTTTAACTGCGTTACAATTTTTTAGATGAATGGGTTTTTCCATTTTCCTTTTACTATGTTGCAAACGAAGATGTTTCACTCAGCAGAAGCCAAACTTTGATACTGAAACTTGCCCACTCAAAAGAAAATTATTAACTATTTCCATTATTTATCCACATTGATCTTTAATAACTATTCAAGAAAAGTATCTTTGGGACATACTAGGTTTTCTTAAATCGTTATCTTTGTCTAGTTTCATGCCATTATGCAATACTTTTTTCTTTCTTTCTTTCTGTGGGGGGGAGTATAAACGACTTTAGGCAATAATATACATAAGTCAACTACCAAAAAGGTGAATAATTTTCAACACGGAATGTATTTTAACACTTTTTCATGATTATTAAGCAGTATGTATTTCCTCAAACATGCCTAAGTGATCATTTATAAATAACCAAACTTCAGCATCTAAGGAGTGTGATGAACTGTGCATGTGGCTGGGAAAGGAGATTAGACTAGGTAGGTCACAGTGAGATTCTAGATTTGTTTCAACTAAAATGTATTCAGCTTGTCAATTCACAGATAGGCTCAGCTCATGATCAAGTAAAGAATGTAAGGACATTTTAAATGTAAAATCTTAGTCTTCAAAGTCCTAATAAATGCATCAAGGAAGTTGACAAGTTTGTTTTCCTAAAGACCTCATGATACAGTAGCTATATTGAATTAAACCAAAATTAAGAAATATGTGATCATTTTTTCCAAAGAACTTTTAAAATTTATGCAAAAACTGATGAAGTTTTAATAGCTTGACTTCCACCTTTGAATTATTACTATACTTCTTAAAAGCCATCATTTTAATGATTTTTGACAAGTATGATTTGTATATAGACTACTACCAGCATACTTTGGCATGAAATGCACTGTCAGTCTTACTCAAATATTTCTATACAACTACTTAATAACAATAAATTAATATGGATTGTCAAGCCAAATGCCTGAGTGGTTTAGAATTTTACTGGATATGATGTTGAAAGTCAACCAGTCCTCAATTTTCACCAGGTTTCTTAATCCACTATTTACAAGTTAGCAAATAGTTTTACAAAAACCACCCTTTATACTTTCTAGACAGTTTTACCGCTACTGTGTCAGCATAAATTATTTTAACACCAACTATCCAAGAAGCAGAATTTTCCTAAATGGGACTCAACTTCTACATCAGTGGTGTGGAAATCTTTGCAAATCCATGATTTACAAAACAACAATAAGTGGACCTCTGGACATTACGCTGAAGTAATATGGCAAATGAAAAATAGAAAGTGAAATATTTATTCAAAACAATCTATAGCATTAAGGTAAGAAGAGCAAAGTTGGTGGCCTTTGAGCCACAATCCATTTCCCACTCTTCTGCATCCGGGTGTGGTGATGATCTACCTGAGTGAAAAGTGCTTCATTCTGAGCAAACACAGCAAAGAACATGGTATTCCCTCTTAGCCACACTCCAGTCTGCAGCTACGATAGAGTCCAAGAAGTAGACCACCAACATTTTCATCCTCTTCAGCTTTCTGTTGCACAAGCTTTCCTGCAGGCTTTCTGCTTTCAACTGGCATCCCACCCTCCACTTTTATGGCCAAAGATGAAGAGCTTGATGATACAAAAAAAAAAAACCCAAAAAATAAAATAACCCATAGTTAGACTTAGTGTTATAACAACAACACACACACACGCACACACACACACACACACACACACACACACACACACACATACAAAATAATAATAATCATAAAAAGAGTTGGAGAAGATGTGGAGAAATTAGGGCTACAGGTAGAAATGGAATGCTTACCTAGTATATGGAAACCCTGGGCTTGATCCTTGGTGCGTGCGCATAGAGAATTCAGAATTGTCATGCCTTGCTGATTGGAGTGTAAAATCATGGAATTGCTGGAGAAGACAGTTCAGCAATTTCTCTAAAATTGCACAGTTTCCAAATAACTCATCAATTCCCTTCCTAAGCAAACCTTGAAGAGAACTGAAAACTTACCTGCATGGAAGAACTCATACACAAATGCTCATAGCAATACTAATGATAACATGCCAAAAAATGAAAACAATCCTGGTATCCAGTGAATCCACATTCAGCAAATCTACAGAGACACAAACTAGACTAATTTTTTTGCCAGAGGCTGGAGTGAAAGGGTAGGTTAGAAAGAAACGGGAGTGACTACTAAAATGTATGTAGTGTCTTTGGGAGTAATACAAATAGTCTAAAACTAACTATAGTTATTATTGTGTACCTATGAGTGTCATACTACTAAAAACTATTAAATTATACATTTTAGGGTCACGTGAATCATATTCTAAGTAAATTATATCTCAAAAAAGCAGCTTTAAAAATTACCCATGGTAAGAAATAATTAAGTATAAAATTTGAAATTCCTAATCTCCCATGTAACACTACAACAATAGGTTATGTGAGGCCTTTTCCCCAAAGGAACACTTTGAAATATACGAAATAATTAAAAAATGGCATGGGTGTTACACAGCTATATGATTTGCACATATTTGCACACCTGTCCAAGATTCCTTCTATTAAAAAAATCAGGTGTCAGTAATATAGGTCTATAGAAAATTTGCATGCAATGTCCTCCCACTTTGGGTTCATTCATTCATTGTACTATCCAGAACCTGTGAGTGCAATTGTTCCTCCTGCTTGTAGAAAAACCTAGACTTTTATCTGTTCCTCAGATCAAGTGTTGAGTTTGTGATAAGCCACACTCAGTGAGAGCAGGAGGTGTCTGAATCTCATTAAAAAGTAAACTTGTCCCTGCCAACATCAGCCAGTTTCATTAAAGCAGAATGAGCCCTAAAGCTGGTCCTAGAGGAGCCAGAGGGGCCACCATAGGACTCACAGTGCAATGGAATCTGGAGACCATCTGCTAGGTGTATGACGATCTCCAAGGCAGAAGAAGTTTCTGAACCATTAATTCATTTCTCTAGTCGTCTGTAATACTTTGGGATCTCACAAGCTTCCTGAGACTGTACTAAGAATCATGGAATTGGGAGATAGTGCTTTGTCCTGAAATAGTAACATGAAATTAGAGAGTCTCAGAATCTCCTGGAGGTGATGAACATCTGCAGTGTTGCTGGAACAGTTATGAGTACACTGAATCACTCTGTATCCTTACCTTTAAGGCGCCATGTCTACTTGCTGTAGGAAACTGAAAGCATTTTTCATTCATCCTACAACAGGCTTATCCTTTTCCATACTTGTTTGTTTGTTTGTTATTGTTTGTTTGTTTTGGTCCAGGAGTCAAACTCAGGACCTTGCATATGCCAGGCAGTGCTTATGAGCTAAATCCCCAGTGCTCCATACCTGTTTTGAAAAGCAAACCATGCTGATGGAATAATATTTTGTGCAATTAAAAGGTTTCTATGAAACATTTTTTAATGTTTAACTATTTATCTATGAGTTAAATACATTCAGGAAAGTTAAATCATTGTTACTTTTGTTTTCATCAAGATTAAAATTCTGTTTATTCAACTGATATTTACTTACATCTATACTTTCTCACAGCACTTTTAGGCCCTACATAAGTAATAAGCATAACTGACAAAAAAAATCCTGCTTCAAAGAGCTTACATTTTAGAAAGGACGCCATCAAACATCAACAATAACAAGTGAATGCGTGTGTCAAGGAAAGGAGATAAGTGTTCTGGACAAAAATAAAGGAACACAGTGAGGTATTCTTTTAAATTGTGGGATCAGCCTAGGAAGTAAGATTCCATAATTATATAAATGATAGTGCTACTAGATAAAGAGTCCTGGGGAAATTCCTCCCAGGCTCCCAGGGAACAAAGAATTGGATAGGACACGCAGAAAAGACAGCAGGTTGTAAATTTATTGAAAGTAGAAAAGAAGGATGCTCTGAAGAGTGGCAGCAGGCCACTGAACAGACTCAGAGCCCAGGAGGAAAGGGAAGGGGCCTTTTAAATCTAGCATTCCTGGAGGGCTTCTTTCCCATTGGCTTCATTCTCATGCAAATGCAGGATGATCCTTCTAGCCAAAACTCACTTGGCCTGGTGCCAGATTTAAATTGTCCTGTCAAAGACCTGCTTGGTTTTATGCCTGATGTAAATGAAAAATGGAAAATTTTTGGATAGCTTCTATGCACAGGCTCATGAGTTGCCTTCATCCTGGCTCCTGGGTTCTACACATGTGCCCTGCATCTCCAGAACTGTGACAGATTATGCCCTGTTAGTTGTCTGACTGAAATGGCCTCAGCCCTAACTGATAGAGTTATTTCCAAAACATGAAAAATATTAACAAAAGATGAGAAATATAAAATAAAAAGCGGCCTTTATTCTGAGAACAGGGAGAGATATGACTGGCACCCCCACCGCTGGCGTCTGGTGATCTCTCCGTCGGACACGTGGCATGGGGGCCTGTAAATAGCCTCGGTTTGGGGTGGAACCTAAGGCGGGCATTACGGATACACAGGTAGCCCATTGGTCCTAGGTTTGGCGCCATATGTAAATTCCCAGGGGCGGGAAAATGGCGTCACAGGTAACTTCCTAGGGGCAGGGCAAGATGGGGCTTCTTGCTTCCGGTTGTGGCTTTCCTGGCTACAGTGTCCTATCTGGGCCAAAACCCTTTCATATCCCGTCTTATGATTATTATTATGAAAAGGGGCGAAGATTTCTCTCTTTAATTACTTCCTGCTGGCAAAGGGCGCTGTACTGGAGCCTAGGGGAGTCGACGGGATGAAGGTTGATGCCCAGGTAGACGCTGGTGTCAGGCGTTTTGGCCAGGACAACTTCACTGGTGAATGCACGTTTGTCAGACTGGAAAAACAAAGAGACAAGATATTATGAGGAGACATGGCACTGTCATATTTAAGGACCCAGG